CTCCATACATTTGCACTGAAGGGGAATTAGTGTTCAACTGATCCTGTTAGCACTATGAAGAAATGCTGATCCTGACAGACACTTTGATGTGCTAAACGAAATCCCAGCGGGCACAGGTACCAAGAGAAGCCCGTCAAAAACATGACAAACAGGTCATCATAACTGGCCAGATTTTTTTTATTGCAGTACATCAATATTTGATTAGTAATGAGTATTTCCTCTGATCTCACTCTTGCTTTATAAGACTGAAAACAAATGTAGATTGGGATCTGTCAAAGTTCACTGGGCTAGTCTCAATCTCTTTTTGAACTCAAGGATATAAATCCCTGTAGCATCAGTGGGAGGTAAATTATGCCAATAGTAAACACTTTTTTACATTCTATTTTTTATAGGTGCCAGAACAACACAGGACTTGGAGTTATGTTTTACCAGAGGTATCAGTTGAGGCTTAATTTCACCATGCCAAGAAGATTGGATCGGTAAAATATTTGAGAGAAATGCCAAATCAGCATGTGAAAGAACTTTTAATAGCATGGTTGCATGAAAGTTGGTTTTGCCTTTTAACACTTATTAACTCCATATTTGTCACACATTATAGTCTGTGCTAAGACATACCTGATGTTCATCATTACATGGGGTATCTACTGCAAGGTTTCAAACTTGCCATGTGAATATATCATGGGCCAGTGATCCATTCCACGATGGTCTCATCTCTAAAATAGTCTTCCAGAATTGTAGGTTTAAAGGAACAGATCCCAGGCATATCCTGGGACTATTATTTTAAGCGTTTAGGCTTTGTTAGAGGTGGATCTACAACTGTTGCACTTTAAGAGAAAATTCAGTCAACAAAGTCTATAAAAGCATTTCTGCACTGTATAGGATGTTGTTGCAGAGGGTTTTCTTTCTGGCCAGCAGCTTCTTTGTTGCCTCCTGGTTGCAAAAAGAACTGCAAAGTTCTTTTCTGTGTCCTCAGATATATTTTTCTTTCAGTTACTTTGCTGTCTTCTGGACTCTTCTTGCCACCCAGGACTCAGGGTGCCAATACATCTTTGCCCTGTAGTAGCAACTCACGCGCTTTTCAGAAGGAAGGAAAGGCTCAGAGAACAGCAATTGCACATGCATGTCCCCCTCTGCTTCCCCACACAATACTTTGGAAGGTAATAAAAAATATTTTAACCCATGTTATCCACTGCACACCTACTCATGGTGAGAAACAGGTTTTATGGCCTTAGTTGCTGTTCGTTTGTCTGTCAGTTATCTAGGAGAGATTAAGTCTGCTCAAGAATAATAGTTGTCATATATATGTGACAGTATTTCAGTCTAACTTCTGCCTTATAACTAATGGTTCAAATATCCAATCCACAACCAGTTGTTTTGTGGTTTGTTTGTGGTCTGTGTTGCCTGTTTTCTTCCCTCCTGACACATGCAATCTTTTGAGTTAAAGACATAAATAAATCCCGTGTAATCACACAATGAGACAGCCACAAATATATGTGCTTTCAAAACTGTTCAAAGCATTTTTATTTCTTCCTCTGTGCTGCTGAACAACTTACCTTTGTATGAATAAACACTGGACACAAGAGTTTTAGAAGTAAATTCAGAGATTTACTCCAGAAAATATTAGCCTATTCACTTTTTCATTTTTGGTTTTCCATTTCTCTCTCCCTGTCAACAGCTCCTAAAGATGAAGTAGAATATTTTAATATAATTAGAAGTTTCTGCCTTAGCATGGCTTCCATTGACACCACATCTGCTTGAGCGTGGTAGGAAGCAGCTTCAAGCCAATTAAAAGGAGATGGGTGCATTGTACAGCTCCCTTCTCTCTTAGTGAACTTTTGACCAAGAGGGCATTGTATTGATGAATTTCATTTCTTCCTAATCTGCTTGTACTCTGTTTGATAGCTTGGGGCTTTGCTCTCTTCTGTTTCAGTACAGTGACCCTGCTCTTGAGAAAGCTGTGGGTTAGAGGCAAAGATTTCAAGTTATTAGAAGATGTTGAGCACACAGATCTCTCCTTGGCTGTCTGCAAAATGTTGTCTGAAAGTTGAGAAAGGCTCTCACCCAGACAAGAAGTAGTAAGGCATTATTTCACAGCTTTTAAGGCACTAACAAAGAGTTTCACTCAGTGCTACATAGATAAATAGACTAAGTCCTTCAGGGTGAAAATGTGAAAGGGACAAACTCAGTGCACCTGGGGGCTGTGTTAGTAGAAGACACGAGTTGTATGAGGCTTTTAAGAGCTGTTCTTCAAGCAGGTGCTCACATGCTGGTCAGGCAAGTCAGAGGTCCCCTTATGACTAACTCTACACATATGACAACAAAAGGACATTTCTGCATGACTGTTTCTGGGATGGTGCCACAGGTATTTTTGCAGAGATCTCAAGCTGCAATTTTGCCAGCCTTTCTGCCTGTTCTGTAATGGCTTATCTTGAGCACAGTCTAGTGAACAGGGCCAAAGGTGCGATGTTGCAGGATCCACACTCCAGCCTGCTCGCTATCATGCTAGCCAGACAAAATGGGTCTGCTTTTTGGCCTTGAGCACTGGTCAGCAAAGAGTGTTGGCCTCAAATAGCTGTTCTTTGAATAGCCAAGAGATATTTTTTTATGAATTTCTGCTAATTCTTGGGTGTTAGATGTTAATTGAAATACACAACAGCAGAACTGGGCCACAGATCACTTCTTGAGAGCAGAGGATGATACTGAGAGGAAAGCAGTTTACATATCCTTCAGGAGAAAAGCAGAGCAACAAAATAAAATGAAGTTCTTATACATAGCTACAAGGAAATACCAGACATCTACATCTTAATATTGGAAAAGTCCTTTGCTGTTCAGAGACTGTATGTTCAGGATCTAAGTGACAGGTGGAAGTAA